ATTCATCTTAGCCCGTGCGCGCTGGCGCTGGCACTACCGGTACACGATTGTTTTGTACCTGAACCGTCGAGTCGGAGTAGGAGGTCTTGTAGTGCAGCGTGATTTCCTCGGTTGTTTTGCACGCTCGTATTGTACTTATGCCGCTGTGCCTTGTATGTACATTTGCCTGTATGCTTTCGTATTAGTACTAGTATTTGTGGTACACTACGTTGCTTCCGATGTGTCCTCCATGTACATACATATGTCTTAGATCCGTATTCTATATCTTGCCCAATACTCGTGTTGCGTGATTATTGAGGAAGAAAATTGAAGTGCGAGGTGTATAAGCAGTACTCTACTAGATAGCCTAACCAAGCGTTGCAATGCCCGCAATGCCCTGCTACGCCTTGCAACGCTCGCAATGCCTTATCACGCTCACAATGCCTTGCCAGGCCTCGCTACGCCTGATCTCCCCTTGTGGAACGTTATCAGGCCCCATCTCTTATCAGGCCTGGCAAGACCTGACTACGCGTTGTCACGACTGACAAGGAAATCCTGGGTTTTCCGGCATACAAGCTCGGCGTCGCCGGAAGCGTCCTGCTTGACCTCGGACATGGCGTGGGCAGACGGGAGGGTCAAGCACCCGCAGGCCCCATGCACGCACCGCCTTTATGTCTTCTGCGCTGCTTCTGTCGGGGCGGGGGCACCGAAAATAAGCGGGGCAACGCGCTGGGCGTGTGTTATCTCTGTCGGATGACTCGGACTTGCCGAGGCCGGCTCATCGGGCCGACATCGCGCAGAAATAGACAACAGAGCGTATAGAGCTCAAGACAGCGGTACAGAGGTCAAATTACTTGGGACAAGATGGAAGACAATGCGGAGAGGCGTGATGTTACTGAAGGTGCTGCTTTGGGCGGTGGTATCACAACCAGACGGGATGTCGCCATAGCTATGGGTCCAAGTGTTGTCAAGTTGTCGCGGCGATCGTCGGCGGTCCGTGGCCGATGTTCCTTCCGCTCATCCCACGGCGAGGCGGATAAGGATGCCGCAGTTCGGCCTGTACGAACGGTTATACGAAGAGGACATGCTCGCCACGGTAGTGCCAGCACCTACTTTGCAGGTACTTGTGGCAGTCTGGGAATCACAGTGTTCCCAAGTAGAAAAAGCGGTCACGGAAGAGAGCCAGTCGACGAGCCGCCACGAGCTAAGCGCCTATTCCTGATGGGCAGCCGGCCTCAGCCGGCTTGTCGGTGTGGCGAGTGGGTCGGGCGTTCTGTCAGTGTACATGTCGAGCTCGACGCGTAGATCTAAGCTCAAGCCACAAAGACACGGGTTGAGAGAGACTCAATTCATGGAACATATACCCTGTTCGCAACTGTGCCGCACGATGCGGCGTGAATGGGTATATCGATTGCAAGGAGTACATGGTGGGCCAGGTCAAACGCGAAGGCGACGCGTCGACGCGAAGCGCGCGCCAGATAATTCACACGTGGGCGCGATTGGCGCGATGATCTCGCCTTGCCGCAGGTTGCGCCTTGTTCTTCACCACCACCCTCATCCCTCCTAACACCAGACTGCTACCCCGATCAGCAGTCGGATAGCCTCAGACATCTACTCTGCATCTCTCTGTCCACCATTGTAATCTGTAACCATGGATGCGCGCCTTCGCCGAGTAAACAAGGAGATCACAGGTGTGTAGCCACACCTTCTCCGAAAAGCGCAATGCTGATAGCTTTCCAGATTGCAAGAATGACAAGACCTCGAACATCAACATTGATCTGATTGATAACTCTCCGTATCACTTACGAGGCTCGTTCACTGGGCCAGAGGATACGCCGTACGAGGGCGGCCACTACGAAGTGGTTTGTGGTACATCTCTCCCCCTACCAACCACGACTGATCACAAGTCCCAGGATATCGTTATCCCGGACTCATACCCCTTCCAACCGGTGAAGATGAAGTTCATCACCAAGGTCTATCATCCAAATATCTCTTCTGCATCCGGCGCGATCTGTCTCGACATCCTCAAGGACGCATGGTCGCCGGTCCTCACACTCAAGTCCACGCTCATCTCCCTCCAATCCTTGCTCTGCAGTCCAGAACCGAATGACCCTCAAGACGCCGAGGTCGCGAAGCACTACATGACCAGCCGCTCCAGCTTCAACGAGACGGCACGGTACTGGGCACAAGCGTATGCGGGTGCGCCTGGAGGTGGGAAGGCTGGCAAGGGTACTGCCGGAGCTCCGCGTGACGAGATTGCGATGGCGGGTCTGGAGAAGGCGCACGTGGAGAACTTCGAGGGCATGGGGTTCGAACGCAGTAAAGTTGTGAGTGCCTTCGATCCGGTGCCACAGCTAGCTTCACGCTGACGATCGGGTTCAGATCGATGTTCTGCGACGGTTGAATTACCGCGGCGCGAATGTGGCCAAGATCAATGAGAACAGAGTAGTGGAGGAACTTCTGAAGAACTGATTGCATACATGTTCTCTCGCACTGTACTGTCGCATCGTATCTGCTAGTCGCTCTTGCTGTTGTATCTTTCGCTCCCAGCCTGCATCGCGCCGGATCTCCGCATTCAGCTCTTATAGCTCTCAACGAAGAAGTTAGGGTTGCGAGAATGGACTTGACGTTCAGCTCTCTATCTTACGTTATCCATTTACCCTTTGATCATCCGTGAAAGCCGAAGACAGGCTGTGGAAAATCTGTACATAGAAGCCCGCAAAAGCGCTCGCGCCGGATCAAAACACGTGAGGGTGACGATAGGTACATTGAATGTTACATGACGAGTACTGTGACACAATATCCATGCCTCCGTACCCAGCAATGCCTACGTTCATCTGCAAATATATGCGTCAGTAATGGAGCGTTTCAGGATACGAGATAATGAAGTGTGCATCGCTCGCCGTGTGGGTATGTTTCAGTCTCGAGAATAGCGTATCCTCTGCGACTACGGATGGACAACACAGACAGCCCATTTATCCAATAAGCCCGAGCAAAACAGCGTCGAATGGGCCCTCGTCCTATTTCGGCTATGAATCGAAAGAGGCGAGCCATCAGCAGAACTCTGCGTGGGCAGCATTTCTTCCCTAGATGCATAGGAAATAGTGAGCGAGAGGCGACTCGACGGCATGATCAGGAGAGCGTACCTTTTGCGCAAAGACCATATGCGTGTCTTATACCGCACGAGTAGGCTATGAACTGCGGTGAGCTCAGAGCTACCTGTCAACTAGACGACCTGCGCAATGGGGATCTGCAATCGATAAAGTGCTTTGTGCGGCAGATGCGCTCGCGATATGCCCCACCACCGGCCTCCGCGCCCCGCTCGCCAAAGTCTGGGATCAACATTGCAGTGTGATAGCTTTTTGTTCGCGTATGAACGTTTAGCATCGCGAGCAAGCTCGAGACCAATGAATAGGCGAGGTGCGCCTCGACCGCGGATGCCGAGTGCAAGTGCGGTACAAACCAACTAGTAGAGCCCAACAGAACGAGAAGTTATGTCACGACACCGCGAGATGAAAGACCGTGCGCGTGCTGCGATAGGAGCATGCGAGTAGGTAGCGGTAACGGGGCTTTTGATTGGTGAAAAGGGGGTCTGGAGACCCGTCGCGTCCGAATAGAGGCAAGTCCGAGGCAATCACCTGGAGATCGGTTATACGGACGCACAGCACCAGAAGCAAAGAACGCGGATTCCGATCGTATTCCTAGCGTACATCCCAAACTAGATCTCGTTGTATACTGTATAACCACGTCAACGCGAGTCACGGTACGACCGTAGTCTACAAATGGGATACGCACAGTCTATCTCCGCAGCCAAGGTGGTGTGTTGTACCACTATCTTCATCCGGACGTACTCCGCGCCGTTCTTCAGAAACAAATCGCCAAAAGTTGTAAGGCCTCGGCGCGTATACCACCCAGCAGCAGTCAGCCGGGCGTCGCACCATATACATTCCGCACCGAGATTATCGCGCGCGTGCTGAATGGCGAAGGCCAATAGCTTCGAACCTACGCCCTTGCCTTGGTGCTCGCTCAAACACGCAAACTTCCGTACGCGCCAAGTTTTGCCTTTGTGCGATGCGCCTTCTCCCGAGTCCAATGGAAGATCTTCGTGAAACAGCGATATGACGGCGATAGGTTCTGAATCTGCGTCGGAAAGGAAGGCTCCGAAGTGTAGACCGTTGTCGTCTTCTGCCAGGCGAATGATGTTGCTGTCCTTCGGGACGTTCGGCCACAAGATCGTGTGGCGAATATGAATGGTGTCGTCCGCCGATACCGGCCGGATGCTAATCGCTGCGGCAGGGTTCACCTGATAGGTTTTGCCTCAAAGGTCAAATGAGTACGAGTTCTGCAACGCCCGATCTGCGGTACCTCTGTCATGGTCACATATACCAAACGAAGCTAGCAGTAGTTGGTGGTGGTCTGGAAGAAAGCAGCGAGCGCTTCGGTTGCGGCCGGCCGAGCGTCTGATCGCGGCCGGTAGGCGGCCGGGGCCGTCGCATCAACCGAGACCTCGGAAGCCACAGCTGCTGCAAGATACTGCAATATAGAGGGCAAACTGGCTGCAGGACCACATGAATACCGTCAGCAGAGCGTTAGAGCTTTCGGCGTTTCTACTGGACCAGAGCGGGCATGCGAAGGATTCGAGCAATGAGATGCATAATCAGAGCTCGGTGTTCTGAAGCCCAACGGGTAGAGGAGCGAAATCCGTGGATAAGGTATAGCTAAAAGTACACAGGCGAAGCAAAAAAGAGTACAATAACAAGGCGTACAGTGCTCATAACCTATTCCAGCTTCTCCAGCTCCTCTAACCGTGAAAGGACTACGTCCTTGCTCGTCTCCTCGATTTCGCCGGCAAGGAATATCTCGTCCAAAATGGCATACACCTATTATAGGGTCAGAGCGTATACGCGATATCAAGTGGTGCACTGACATACCTTGTAGAAGTTGAATACCAGGTCCAGCTCGCAGACGTTGTCGAAGAACGAATCTAAGCGGGAGAGGGTCAGTCCGTAACCCGTAACATCATGTGAGCCACGCACCGAGAATCTCAACGAAGAGATGGATAGCCTCCAGGTATGCGAGCTCGTTGTCGTTGGCATCGACGCAAACGCAGAAGAAGAGGCCGGCGTAACGGCGGTAGACGACTTTGTAGTTGCGGAACTGCGGCATCATGTCAATATGAACTCCATGCTGAGCCGGGGTCTACACGCACCTCCACAAAGTTCGACTGATATTTCTGGTCTCGCGGCGCCACTAGCCGGTGCACTTCACCACGCAGACGGACCTGCGAGCGAAGTGAGCCTCAGCCAGACCGTCTCACGCGCACAACGCGCGAACCTTCTCCTCGTCGTCATACGGGACGTACCACTTAGACAGCCGGGTCTTTCCTTGCCTATTCTGAGATGTAGTTCAGCCAAGCCCTGAGATGCTACTGTGAAAGCGCGTACTTGGACGAGGATGAACCTGATCATGGTGGTGGGCGTGGACAAGTTAGTCAGGTCCGAACTGCGCAAGTCAGCAAGATGATCGCTGAGCGCTGAGCGCTCTTGCCTCTAGCCACCATCTTGACAACAGGCATCAAGCCGCCTTCGGCCCTCTCTCTATGGACTCGGCGGGCACGATATGTCTGTACCGGATACCAGCCAAATGAGACTTTCGATGGCGGAAGCCTTTACTCGCGGAGCTATGCCTACTACGAGACTACTCTCCGCCTAGCACATCATGCTTGCTAGATGTGAGCGACAGGCGATCGCCTGCAATCTGATCTCAGCGATTGGACTGGTCATCTGGACTTGTTTTGTAGCCAACCGGATACACACCCTTTGGAACTGAAGATATGGGCTGTTACGCTGCACCTCAAGTTCGACGATGCGCTGCACGATGCGCTTTTATGCGGTTCGATACTCGAAGAATCATCTGTACATACGCTGTTACAAGCCCAATGATGGTCACGACGACGGTACTGACTTCGACTTGTCAGGGACTGGAGGGAAGGAGGGAATAAGAAACAGTGTGGAAGGTTTCACAAGGGTCAGCTGCGTCCGAACTTCCGAGCTTAATGGTATATACAGATGTGTATGTAACAATGGTCCCGAAAGCAAAAGTATCGTAGTACGTCAGACAGCATATGAAGTCTCGTTGATGCCAAACGTAGCGGCACGTACTGCGCCAGGGTCTTCACAGACAAGAAAGCGTCCACACAGTATGCAACCCCCCTCGATAGAACGCTTATGTACGGCTAACGCGGGGCCCCGTTTCTCAATTGATCGTATATCGTTTGTCCCTCCCCCGGACCTCTCTCCAAGATCTCGGTGACTTCCGTTCTCCATATCTTAGGCAGCATAGCGATACGCTTGACCCTATCAGGTCCAAAGCCCCACTCTGCGGGTACCAGCCCGAACTAAGTAGATAGGACGAGTCAGTGAATGTCAGGATGTTAGAGATGCATGAGCGAGTTGCTCACCAAACGGAAGTAAATGGGGAGCTTCACCCAGATGACATATTGAGCGTCTCGGATGTGGTTGATCATCGCAAACGCGCAGGACGCGCAAGCGCCCTCAGGGAAAGTGTCAGCCGTGAGTTCCGTCGGAAGCTGCAGGAGGTCGATGGACCAAGTAGGAGAGTTCAGTACCGAGTAGACGCGGCGCGTCCAGAACCTGTCAAGGCCGCTTATGCACGGAAGCTCATAGCCATCAATAGTGCCATTGGTGCTGTATCTACATCTGTGTGGGGCAGCTTGAATGCGCTGGTCCACGAACACTTCGAAGTCGAGCTTCCGCGCACAATCCAGGTGCATGACTCGACATCCTTCCTGCAGTTCCTTCTGGTCGTACTCCCCCAGCGGTGACCACTTTAAGTACCGGTAACTACCATCGCCACCAACGAAATCCTCGAGAGAATCCGGGTCACGCTGAAAAGTGCTCCCTATGTCGCAGGCAAGCACGGGGAGCAAAGCGTGGAGTATCTCGTGCTTGAGAGCGAAGACGTACATGGGCACTGTAGATATATTAGTAGTAGTCGTGTACTCTCATACAGGTGAGGATAGGCAAGAGGCACACGCACCGGGATTGGGATACAGAGCCGTCTGATCCCATGAAAGTGCGCCCTCATCGAGGAAGGCATCTGCAGGCTGAAACTCGCTGTACGCTCTCGTTCTCAAGCGATGTGTTCTCTCAATCCACTTCGACAGATGCGACGGCCATATCTCACAGAAAGGCTTCGTCACGACGTGCATGAAGGTATCCGTCGCAACATATTTGTCTGCCAAGCGCAATACGCCATAATGAATCGCTGGGACATCCAGTAGGCCGTGAACGGGGTGGCTCCGCGACTCTATCACGCTGTCCAAGTACCTGCGGAAGTTACATGAGTGACTACACGGCAGGTTTGTGCGGGCTATGTGGTACCCTGTATGATGTGCAGCAAGGTAGGCTTCCACATCTGCAGGGTCGTCTTGCACCATTTCGATCGCGCGTAGCCCGTCATACGTCGCAGACGCTTGCATGAAAGGGCCCTGGTCGAGACTGAAAATGTTCTCGAAGTGCACTGACATCCGTCTTATGGTGCTCTCGCGGACGCCAAAATACGTGATATGGGGCACACCGTCGTTCGCGCGTTCGACGGTGAACAAAACTATGTTTCGGTCGACACTCCGGTGAACGACCGGTGGAGATGCAGGGGGCGCGACTGCGGCGATATGATTATTGCTAACTTCCGACATGGGGGGCGGGGGAAGGTAGCGGCGCGCGCGTCCGCCCTCCTCCTTATATACTACCTTCCACGTGACTTTGTTGATTCCTCCCACACCACCCCACGTTTGCACTTCGCGCGAGCTGCAACCACAGGCGACCACCCTACAGTCTGCCCACGGGAGACTAGTTGGTTGCGGTACATGAGCAAGGTCGCGTCAGTGACAACTTGCGGAGTCTATCACTGCTCACGATCGTGATACGCGCCCTGTCGCTTTCAGCAGCTCACATTAATGAGCGCGTGGGACTATGATACAGTCGACGCTCGCAAACCGTCACACAGCCGATAGCCCTACGCCAGGACGTAGCACGACTACATACTTTAGGAGATAGTACATACAACGCAGCAACGCGAAATGTACTGATAACGTGTACTAGTAATTACAGAAGCGGCCCGTTCCTCAACTGCTGGAACATCGCATCGCCCTCGTCCATCCTCTGTGCAAGATTCGACACGGCCTGAACCTCGCGCTGCCAAAGACGAGGCAACGCCTCGAAGCGCGCCTCTGCGTTGGGGCCAAAACCCCAGTTAGCAGAGACGTATGGTACCTGCAATCACAAGAACGCGTCAGCTAGTATATCTGGAAGTAGGACCTGGGCTAATAGATTGCTCACGAGACGGAAGTAGATCGGCAGCTTGATCCACAGCATGTACTTCGCGTTCTCAAGATGGTCGATCACCGCAGACGCGCACGCATCACAGACGTCCTCCAGATGATCCAAGCACTCCTCAGCCGTTGGGAACCGCAACAAGTCAATAGGCCGAGCGAGAGAGACAAGCGGCACGACGTAGAGCACCCAGAACTTCCGAAGCCCGTCGAAGCAGGCCAGGTCGTCGGCGTACGCGGCGCCCCCGGGTGTGAAGAGACAGCGGTCCGGGCGGAGACTGATACCCGCGAAGAGGTCGAAGTCGAGTTTGCGGATACAGTCTAGGCGCAGGACTTCGGCACCGGCGCGGATGTCCGCGGCGTCTTGAGGGCTGAGAAGGGTGAAGTCCAGTCGTCGGAAGCCGCCGTCGTTGAGGGGAGTGGAGACGGTGTGCGAGTGAGCGATGTCGTAGGCGACCGCGGGCAGGATGCCTTGTAGCGGGTGGTGCTGCGAGGCGAAGATGTACGTCGAGACTATTATGAGGAGAAATCAAGTGCGCGCAGGGGATCAGCGATGATTATGCTCGAGATGCGTACACGCACTAGGATCTGGGAGTAGCTCGGTTTGGTCCCATTCTTCTGGCTCCGTTCCCGTCTCCGTGTCAGGGTGCGCGTTGGTGAGCGAGGCAGGCGCCGACTCGTATACCTTCCGAAGCCGGGCGGTTTCTTTGTTCAGCCATGTGTGTAGATGGGTGGGCCATACTTCGTGGAAGGTATCGACTATCTCCACAGTGCACTCGTGCGCCATATACTTCTGTGCCATCCTGAGAAGCCCGTAGTAGGCACCTGGGACTCGGAGAAGGCCGTGTCTGGGGTCTCTCTCAAGGCGCTTGAGTTTGGATAGGTACCTGATAGGATGAATGAGTCGACGAGCAACGAGAAAGCGTATGGAAACATACCATCCGTAGTGAGTCATGCGAAGAAACTCCACGACATCCTCGCCATTATCCGTCAAATGCATCACAGGCAACTTCTCGTACGTGCCAGAGGAGTCGGGGCCTATCAAAAAGGCATCCTGAGGCCCGCCATCGAAGGCGTCCCTGAAGGACTCGGATATCGTAGTGAGCATGCTCTTGAGCACGCCGTACATGGTGTGCACCGTGCAATTGCCCTGTGTTTCTGTAGTTTCGAGGACCAGGTCACGGTCTGAGCGCCAAAAGTCAACGCTCCGCGCCACAGCGACTGTGGCCGTGCCTGGGCCGGTGTCGGCATGCTGATCGACCTTCTGAGACATGGCGGTGGTGGTATAAGCCGCGTCGCGTCGCTTGTGGATCCATGCGCTCACGTAATTAGGCTGAGTCAGCACCTTCGAGAGGCTGCAGCTCAACTTGTGTGGGCTCTCACGACGGCTTGCGTTTACGAAAACCTCAAGAATACATTAATGACCAGGCGCGTAGACCACCGACAATCTGTCCCAACCAGAGGAAATGACAAGGAGATAGCGACGCTAGGCCCATAGACCAATACACCACGCAAATACACACGAAAGCATCCATATCGTACATACATCACTTTGCGTCTTCATCGTCGCGCAACCTATGCCATCTTATCGTCCTTCGCACGCTCCAACTCCGCCCACATCTCCTCCCCGCGCTTCGGATCCCATATCGACGTGATCTCAGCTTTCCACGGCTTCGGAAGTCTCGCCCAGCCATTATTGGCGTCGCCAGGTCCCATTCCCCACCACGGATTGACATACGCCGTCTACGCGCAGAATCGTGACAGATTAGCCCCAGTACAGAAACTGTAGCAGAACAGGGAGAGCGAGACGCACCAAGTCAAAGTACGCCGGAAGCTTGAGCCACACCGCGTACCGCGCATTCTGCATATGCCTCACGAACGCCTCCGCGCACGACGCGCATACCTCCCGCTCATGGCATCTCACGGGAAAATTTCCCAGATCAATAGGCGCACTGTCGTCCAACGTCGACCGCACTCTCCTCTCCCAGAACGCCTGCAACGGCGCGAAACACGCGAGCTCGGCCGGGGACGTCGCGCCGCCGTGCGGCGTGCGCTCACACCTCCTCACGGGCCACCCGTATAGCACAAAGCTCTCGAAGCTGAACTTGTCGACGCAGTCGGCGCGGTACGCTGCGATGCCGGAGTTAAGGGATTGAATGGTTTGGGGCGGGAGTTTGGTGCGGAAGAGGTGGATGCGGCGGAAGGGGATGCCTGGGGGAGGGATGTCGTCTTCTGCCCATTTGGCGTGCGCGATGTCGTAGGCGATGGTGGGGAGCGCGTTGAGCAGGGGTGGAAGACCTTCGGCTTCGGAGTAGGCGCTCACTGTTCGATAGAGGCGCGAAGGGGATTGATAGTCAGTCCTCCTGATATTCGCGACGGGTTCGAAGAGCGTTCAGCAGCAGAGCTTACCAGGGTCGGAGAAGAACCGAGTGACGTCCCACGGATTCTCCCCATTCTCGTCCAAGACCTCTTCCCCAGCCGCGAGCTCTTCGTCCTCATTCTCCACCGATCGGAGGGTGTCTTGCGCCCGCCTCGCCAACACGCTCTCTCGGCGCATGAACTTGTGCATGTCCGACGGCCACACCTCATCGAACGCGCTCGTGACGGCCTCCGCGACGCCGGGCGGCGCGATGAACTTCCGCGCGAGGCGGAGTATGCCTGGGTAGCTTGGCGGAACGCGCACCAGGCCGATCTCGCGGTCTTTGTGCTCTTCGTACCGCGCGCGCTGGTATCTGCGTAACAGAAGAAAGCGTGAGCAGTAGGCGGTCTGCACAGCGCTCGCAGATGTAGAGTACATACCCAGGGATGTATATGGCATGGAAGAACGCATCGACGTCTTCATGATCGTCGAACATGCGCATCATCGGGAGTCCCTCATACGTCTCGGACGCAACCAGGAACGCGTCCTGCGGGCCTCGGAAGGTGCTCTCGAACATCTCAGACCCGAGGCCAAGCGTGCTTTTCCGCACGCCGTACAGGGTGTGGACTCGCTCGACGACTCCCGAGTCTGACTTGGTCTCGTGTACGGTGAACAGGATGACGTCGCGGTCATCTAACCATAGATCGGGACTCTTATTCACGATTTTGCGGGGCGTAGAGGTGGGATTATCAACGTTAGACATGGTGGTACGAAGGAGAGGACGACACGCGTCTATCCTGGACCTGAATATGTGGAAAAGCGGATTTCTCACGGCTGGGGGTGCGAGCCACTGGCAAATGAGCACGATACGCGGATTAAGTGTATAGTATACAAGAATGGCATCCGCCAGCAATACATACAGGTATTCATACAAGTCCTTAGATGTGATGTACATAGCACGAATCATGCTACAGCGCCACCGCATTCTCCATAAACGTGCGGAGATACTCTGCATGCTCCGGATTCCATATTGCAGTAATCTCGATCTGCCACTCCGTAGGAAGATCTTCCCAACCATCGGGCCTTTCCGCGTAGCTTGAAACTTCTCCCCACGAAGAATCGACGTATCCAGCCTAATACACACCAAGTGAGTACACAGGATGCACTCAGACGCAGAGAACCTCTCACAAGATCGAAATACCCAGGTAACTTGTGCCACACCGCGTACCGCGCGTTTTCCAGATGTTGAATGAACGCAGAAGCGCACGACGCGCATACGTCCGGTTCGCTGCACGATCTCGGGAAGCTTCTGAGATCGATAGCTTTAGTCGGTTCGAGAAACGGCTCCACCGTGCGCGCCCAGAACTCTTGCATTCCGTTGAAGCAAGTGAGCTCCTTGGGTTCTCTAGCGTACGGCGAGCGCCGGCAGCGGTCCACGGGCCACCCGACGAGCATGAAGCTGCCAAAGCCGAACTTGTCCTTGCAGTCCTCGTGGTACGCCTTGATCCCGCGCTCGATGCTCTGCATGTCCTCCGTCGAGAGACGCGTCAGGTCGAACTGCCGGAAGAGGGTGAAGGGCGGTTCGGGCGGGCTGTCGGGCGGCCGCCGTGCGTGCGCAATGTCGTAGGCCAAAACGGGGAGTATGCTGTGTATGGCCGGCTGTTTCTTGGCCAGTGTATAAGCCGTCACTGTGGAAGTATATAAGCATGGATGTACGGTAGACTCGAGAGCGAGGACGAGCAGACTCACCGGGATCAGGATAGTACTTGCTGATATCGCTGGTGTTTTCTCCGTCCAGTTCTAGAGGCGTGTCCTCGCCCATGTGAGGAAGATTGTCCCAAGCCCTTGCACCCAGCGCGTACTCTCTTTCGAAGAACTTGTGCATATCCGACGGCCATAACTCTTGATAGGCCTTTGCAACGGACCGCAATACACCTCTGGGCGCGTCGAGCTTCTCAGCGAGACGCAGTACGCCAGGAAAACTGGGTGGGATACGCAGTAAACCGAGCTCAGCGTCTGTATGGTCGTCGATCTCTTGTTGCAAATAGCTATTATCCAGAGTACGCGACTTGTCAGCCTGGTGTATGCGCATGTGATACTGAATACTACGCACCCAGGTCGATAAATAGCATTCAAGAACATCTCCACGTCCGCAGGATCGTCGTCCACGAGTTGCATAGTCGGCAAACCCTCATACGTCTCCGAAACAGCAGTAAACACGTCCGGCCGCGTGTTGAACGTGAAGTCCAGTATACCAGACCCCATGCTGAGCGTGCTCTTCCGCACGCCGTACATGGTGTAGACCTCGGTATCGTCGTCGATTTGCTGGACGGTGTAGAGCACGACGTCGCGGTCATCGAGCCAAAAGTCGGTACTCTTGTGAACGACCTTCTTGAGGGCGGTGGCGCGGGGTTCGACCGCGGGCGCAGGCGTGGACATGGTTGTGCATGATCATGATGGGAAGCGAAGGGCGCCTGGGAAGGACACCAAGCTAGCCTCATGATAGCTCTCACGAAGTTGATACGCCTCCGACGTCCGTGGGCTGAGGTCCTGTTCAGTGCCTGCAGAATCGGGACATTAGAGTCGGTGCCACAACGATCTGCACTGCGTGGACGTGCCTATCTAGATCCGCGCTGATTGACTTTCCGACTTTCCGAGACATGCAGAGCGTTGGCGGTGGTGGTGGGTGGCGGTTAAGCCGCGCATCGGGAGGACGTCGTTGATCCGTCAGGCGATATGTCCGAGTCATCGCCGACGCCAACATCATGCCTGTCTCAAACGACATCCTATCACACCAGGACTCTGGAATAGTACAATCTTTGGCTACTTGTACATAAACTACAGGCGCACTTCCTTAACTAGAGGACCATCTCCCTCTCGTTTGCGGCGACCATCTCGCGCGCCTTCTTAGGCTCCCATATCTCAGTGATCTCTACCTGCCATCCAAATGGCAGGTCCCTCCACTCGTTCGTATAGACATCGGGGTGAAGTCCCCAGTACGGCGTTGCGCGATCAACCTGTTGAGACGTATTGAGTAAAAACGTGAGATGGAAGGCGGCGTGCGCTCACGATGCCAAAGTATACAGGTAGCTTAGCCCATACAACATTCTGCGCGTTCGCGAGATGTCGCATGACACCACGAGCACAGGCTTCACAGATCCCGTCATCCTTGCACTCGATGGGAAACCGCATGAAGTCGATGGGCTTGTCCGGCGCAAGAAGCGGCGTCACCTTGGCGCCCCAGAAGGCCTGAAGCCCGGGGTGACAGCCGAGGTCGCAAGCTGAGCGCACAGGGTCCACGAGCTTGCGTTTACAATGCGAGGCATATAGTCCGTTATTGATGAAGCTCTCGAAGCTGAGCTTGTCCTCGCAGTCACGGCGGTAAGCCTCGGCGCCGTGCCGTAGTCTGAGCGCATCTGCTTCGTTGAGGCGGGCAAGATCGAGGCGGCGGAACGGGAACTGGCGGTAGGGGTCAAGAGAGGATTGGGCGTGTACGAGATCGTACGCGACCGTCGGTAGAATGTCGCTGAGAGCTGTGTGCTTTCGCGCCAACGTGTACATGGATACTGAGCATCATATCAGCACGGGAGCACCAGACCTCCGAAAGATGTCAGAGATGAACGCACTAGTATCGGGGAAATGCTCCGTTACATCCCAGTGTTGCTCGTCGTCCTGTTGACCTGGAGGCACAAAGAGCTCTCTGTACGCGTCGTTGATGAACGCTCGCTCTTTCATCTTCCATTTTGACAGATCTGCCGGCCACGCTTCTTCGAATACGCTTGCGACGGCCCTCGTGAACTCGGGGGGAGCCACGAACTTATCGGCGAGACGAAGTATACCGAAACAGGTCGGCGGTACGCGCAGGAGGCCGTATTTGGGGTCTTTCTGGTCCTCGGCCAGTTTGTGAAGGTATCTGGGCAGCTGGGCGTCAGGAGCGGACACGAGCTTGGAGAGGGGACCGAGGTCGCGTACCCGGGGAAGTAGATGGCACGGAGGAAAGCGTCGACGTCCGCTGTATCGTCGTAGAGCCGCATCATGGGTAAACCCTCGTACGTCTCGGACGCATCCATAAAAACGTCTTGCGTGCCGGAGAACGTGCTCTCAAAGAGTTCAGAGCCAAGGCCGAGCGTGCTCTTCCGCACACCGAACAAGGTGCGCACTTCCGCGCCATCGTCGCGATGCTGGACGGTGAAGAGAACGATGTCGCGATCCTCTCTCCAGAGACTCTCGCTCTTGAGAGTGACTGGTATCTGAGCCTGAGGGCCGGACATGGTGGCGGGGAGCGGATACGGCACTTAGGAGGGCCCATGGCGCGCTGATGACTTGCGGAGACAAAGAGTACAGTCTGAGACCCTACACCTTGTCTCGATCCACCAGGTGTGCCTAACGCGTACGGCACGTGCACCTACTCCACGATAAAGACATCATAAAGAGTTTGAGACGGTGCGGGGCCGTCCCATGGCAGAACCAATGTCTTGCGCTATGCACGCCTGGAGCACCGTCGTGTTCCCTCCCGATCCATGGGCCAACCAAACGTTCATCCCACGAGTCATGTTCCCTCTAATGAGAAGCGAGGCAGATCATGCCGCCCGACGTGGAGCTGCTGTGCGTTGCGTAGCGCGACCGAACGCGGTGGTACGAGGAAGACCGCGTCGTGGGCTGTTCGGGACAGATGCACGTGCAAACCGTCGCTCACGGAAATTCTGAATTCTTTCACCGAGCTCCTTCGTTCGCTCTTCATCTCAACCAGACCGGACTTAACAGACGTTCATTTGAGTGCATAGATTTCAAGATAGCTAGTGCTACGAGTATATTACATCAAGATGAGGAAAGCAAACATGATACGCATTCAGTCAGACTATCGGAAAGCTGAGGGATTTTTGGGGGGCTATATTTTTGAGAGTCTTTGAGACGCGAATTCTGAATCTTTTTGGTCGGAATTCTTTTTGGTCGTCAGTTCGACGTATGTAGCAGCGAGTGGTCGGGGAAGCAAGCTTCAAGCTTCAAGGGCAAGGTCCTACTCGTTTTTCTTCGTATAGCTCTTGCCACTTACTGGCTCGAAGCCCCGCATCCGGCTCGCGTGCGATAGCGGACATTGTCCGCACTTCGTCTTTCCACTGCTGAGGCAGCGCTTCGAGACGCACGCGGGCGGCCTTTGTGTCGAATCCCCATTCCGGGGAGGTATACTTAGTCTATGTACGGTCGCAAGAGTCAGTGGGCGATACACCGTGCGGCATGACAGGGACGACTCACCAGACCAAAGTAGAGCGGGAACTGTGTCCACAGCACGAATTGCGTGTTGTGGATGTGAGTCTCCACTGCCGATACGCACCGATCACAAACTTCAGGTAAGTTGCGGTAGATCGTCTTAGTCGAGGGGAACTTAGACAAGTCGATCGGTTGTTTCGCAGATGCGAACAACGGGTCAACATGTTTTTCCCAGAATTTCTCGATGCCATTGTAGCATTGGAGGTCGCCGACGGATTTGGCACCCGGTGTGTTTTCACACCTTTCAGCCCGAAGGGTGATCCTTGTGAACGTTACCCAGCTCATCTTCCTGATGCATTCCAACCGCAGGATGTCGGCGCCGGCCTGGATGTTGGATCTATATTCCTCGTCGAGAAGATCCAGATTTATCCGACGGAACCCGCCCTTGAATAAGGGAGTATCCTCCGTAGGAGAGCGCACCATGACGTACGCGAGCACGGCAAGTATGTCGTGTAATCCTTCGTGTTCAAGGGCGACGGCGAAAGCCTCGACTACATAAGTCGAGGTCATGTTAGTACCCAGGTAGAGGAGAGTGATTGCATACCAGGATCTGCCCACAGTTTGGTTTGATCCCATTCGGACGCCGGGTGTAGTCCGGCGGTTAGCGCTGGTGGTGCAGACTCGTCCACCCTCTGCTGCTGAACTGTCTCTTTAGTTAAGTACGAACCTAGATCGGTGGGCCATAATTCGTGGAACGCATCGAATATCTGGGCCATGTGCCCGGGCAGGAATTGGTGCGTCCTCGTGAGAGCAAGTAGCTCGTAGTAAGCAGGTGGTATCCGCCACAGACCGCGCCCGGGTTCACTGAACGGCGTCTTTAGCTCCTGGAGATACCTAGCAATCGTGTGAGAAAAACACAACGTGCACAAGGCAGAGGAATATGGCCACCATCCGTGTGTGACCATCATGCTGAGATGGCCGGCATCGTCGTGGTTATCTGGAAGCTCTAACACGGGTACACCGTCTTGCGTTTCGAACTCGAAGGCCGTCTGATCACCACTGAACACATCTCGGAATAATGCGAAGGCGGCCATAAATGCGCTCCGGACGATACCGTAGACCGTGATTATGATGCTGACTAAGCCTCGGTGGCCACAGGCAATGATATCGTGTATAAGGGTCAAAAGTACCGGAACTTGGGCAACATCGCCATTGGTGAGCGTGTCCGAGGCCGAATCATCACCGTGGACGATAGTATCAGCCATAAATGCGGAATTTCAGAAAATCGTAATTTAGTGCGATGGTGGTGGTTGCGGTTCAAGTCGCGTCGACGCGAAACGGCTTATATAGTCCTTCGGCACTTGCCGAATCTCGAGTCTCACGCTTCTGTCTGCACCCAATCTGCAATTCTCGGGTGACCCAATCTGCAATTCTCGAGTGCAGGAAACAAGCCCAGCGTCGCCCAGCGCGAGCGGCGCGTCGGGCGCTCGAGCCCGAGCTCTGCGAGAATTGTTGAGGACCTCCGCTCGACTGGTTCATACGAGGTTACACTAAGTACCTGCAGCCAGTCTGGCGGTATGGCGAGCGCCGCTTGCTGAACACCTGTCCGCGAGCTGGATCAGTCGGGCGTTCGTGGAGCACATTGAGCTGTGTGAGTAGACCAGTCGGGGCGAGCGGATACCTAGGAAGGATACGCGTCTCGGTAAATGTGTATGCAAAAGGTGATGGCGTTGGAGGTATGAGGATCAGGAAGGCGCAATCTCGCTGAGCCACCGCGACCATCTTCGTCAGAAAACTCTGTGAGTCGAAAGTTGCCTATCTTGAATGAACCACGCGCGCTTCCCAACATCCGATGCCGACGTTTACCGGCGTCGAACAGTCAAGCCACACGGGGAGCCGTACGCGCTCTTTCCATCAGTATGGCCGTCAAAGCGAGCAGTCTACATCGCCTGTGAGCTGCATCGTTGTTGCACCTGTCAAGAGATGAAGAAGGAAGAGGTAGAATCAGTATTATCTGCGTCCTGAGCTCTAGGACTAGACGACGAAGGCTGCTCTGCGCGCACGCCATGTTGTGGGTCATCTCGGGGCCAAAGCACGATAGACAATATCAATTAGATGCTGCGGTCGTGACTATACACTCGCAGGGCCGTACGGAGCATGGCATCGCGAGGATGCGCCTTGGAACGCGCAGTATAGTGCGGCGCAAGCAGGCTCGGTGGTGATCGGGACTCGGTGCACCGAATAGTACCTTCCTCGGGCTCATGAGCCATACTGGCAACATCGTATAGGAAATACTGGATGAGCTCGATGGTCTGCGTACGTCCAGCACAAGCATGGTGGTACGGGACAGGCCGCCACGCGTTCTCGAACGGGCCGGAAGAGGCAAGCGCGTCTGCACGTGGTCATCCGAAGCGAGTTGAACGCGTCTGACGCACGTCAACTCGCACCCTCCACCTCACCCTCCCTCTCTTCCCCACTCTCCAAGACTACCAGCGATGGGCGAATCGCGCAGCGAACTCGTAGCATGGGTCAACGACCTGCTGCAGATCAACTACACCAAGATCGAGCAGTGTGGCACGGGCGCGGCCTACTGCCAAATCATGGACTCTATCTACGGTGCGCCTCCCCATCGCGCCTCTTAACCCTCTCCAGAGCGCTGATATCGGTGTGTGGTTTGGAACAGGCGACATGCAGATGAGCCGGGTGAAGATGGGCGCGAAGCACGAGTACGAGTATCTGGCGAATTATAAAGTGCTGCAGAACTTCTTCAAAGCCAAACGGATCGACAAGCCCGTGCCGGTCGAGAAGCTCGTAAAGTGCAAGATGCAGTGCGTCTCCCCCTTCTTCTACAATTAATACTACTCACGTCGGCGCGCAGGGACAACCTAGAATTCATGCAATGGATAAAGCGCTTCTGGGACCAAAACTACCCCGGCACGCCCTACGACGCCATCGGCCGCCGAAAAGGCCAAGTCGCAGACACGCCCGCCACCATCGCGCCGCTCGCGCCCTCGCGCGGCACGCCCTCCGCCGGCGGCCTCGGGCTCGCCGCACGCGGGAAGACGCCCGTCGGCGGCCCGCGGTCGGCGAGCTCGGCGGCCGTGGCGCACGAGCAGGTGTTGAATCTGCAGGCGCAGGTCAGGGAGATGTCGACGCATTTGGAGGGGCTGGAGAAGGAGCGCGATTTTTATTTTGCCAAGGTGTGTGGCGTGTTAACGCGATATGGGAGAATGGGTGCTGATGTGGGTGAGGTGTAGTTGCGCGATATCGAGATCTTGGTGCAGGCTCAGCTTGAGCCGATGGAGGCGGAGGGTAAGGATGACGAGACGTTACGTGCGATCCAGCAGATCTTGTACTCTACCGAGGTGCGTTCTCCTCCTTTCCTAACTTTCACATCATTCTGACGGAGCTAGCAGGACGGATTTGAGGTACCGGAGGGCGGCGTCGCAGCAGACGAGGAGGAGACGTTTTGATCACCTTTCCTTCTCTACTCGCCATTTCTCCCCAGTATAGTCTACCCATATCCGCTTCACATACCACCCGCTCCTCATCCTTCACGCAATACTCTCGTTATAATCTGTCTTTTTGCATCGCACTCCCCGGGAAATCTTGGAAATGGAATTTTTTATCATTCATCTACGTGTGTTAGGGTTCAGCTGGGCTTCGCAGCTGCTAACCTATCCTCAAAGTCGGCATCCGGGTCCGCAGAGCGAATCTCAGCTCAGGACCCCCCCAATCCTCACCCATGGAAGGTCTCCCGCACATCAAGCTTGACCACCTCCACTACCGCCTCTTGACCCACCTCAAGGCTCGCAAATGTACCACCAGCGTCTGAACGCACCCGGCCGATCCTGCGAGCTCTATCCGCGCCCTCTTCGCTTTCCAACATCCGACGACCAAAATATACACAGGCCGCATCGCCGGCTGGCTCGAGTATACGGCACGCGCTGTCCCTCGGCGATGAGAGGGCAACTCTCAGCGTCGGTGGATGCCCACTACATGCGCGGCCCTCCGGTAGGGTGTGAGAATGCGCAGGTACTGGTGGTGCGGTACTTCGAGCGTGAACCGCGCGGCGAGCATATAAGTCACATGGAGCGAAGTGCTTGCCCGAAAGATTCGCGCCTGCCTTTGCGCACAGTGTGTCGCGTTGATAGCAAGTTGACAATGATACGCTCGCCATGAATTGCGATAGAGCCGAAGAGCACAGCGTCGGCGCGTATACTGATCCTGAGCCGCTTGAGGCCAAAAAGCGGGATGGCGAATCCTAGCGGGTCGTCGTCATCCTTAGGCGTATGTGCGCACGATGACCGCGGTCGAGATGGCGGTATATAGTCATCACGACTTGAGTGCATCTCCCAGTCCCCGTCGTGTCGGCTTGCCGCTCTATAGTACGGGGAGTGGGGTAGAGTTCACTAGAACAGATGCGCATCCCGGCGCGCGAGACGTGATGGGGCGTATCGAGCTGTTGAGGATGCGCGCGCATCTCGTACAGCCCGCAGATGGAGCGTGTATGTGGGTGTTGGCGAGGCTTGAGTAACGCGTTTGTGACGTTCAGTCGGAGGTGTGCTGTGCGATGGAGGCGCAGGAGAGAAGTGTAGAACGAGAGACTCTGTGTGTAGGCGCGCCGCGAGGCGGCGGTGTCCGCGAGTGAAGTATATACAGAGATGCAGCGTGAAAGCGCGCGTATAGACAGTATGAACACGCCCCAGGAGATGCAGCCGCTTGTGGCGAGCGCTGGATGGGGTGTAGCGCCCTGATCCGCGACGCCGACCGGGCGGGCGTGAACAACTCAAAGATAACTATAGGAAGCGGGTGGGGCGCGATTGTTGGCGTTCAAAGGGACGGTATTCACTCGGAGTGTCTTGAAGCATTGAAGTGGAAGGATAGGATGCTGAGGGGCGGTGGATACTGCACGACGAGTACTGGTATGGCCGCCCGAAGAGTGCCTGTGGGGATAGCGCGAAAGTGTACTGGTTGCTGAAACCTATGGGTACGCCTAGCTCGCGCAGAGCCGTCCGTCTGGCCTATCTGGAGAGCCGATATGTGAACATCCGGGGATAGCAAGAGTCAGTGGGTGGCGGTATTACCGTCATGGTAGTCTGCGCAAGTCCGCCGGCGTATGTACTTGTGGCGAACTCGAGTCTCGCGTTCGGCGTTCGGCGGTCGGCGATAACGCGTCGGCTTTCGGGCCGCTCAACAAAACGCCGGTTGGCTTTCGACCACCATGGTGGCGCTTCAATTGCCATACTTGTTCCTCCCAACCTGTGCACGTCTGGCGCTTGATCTTCTTCTGGTACGCACTTGAAAGAGTAACCATGTTTCCCAGAACGATCCTAGGAAACACGTCCTTGGTTTCTCAAACGATAAGAACCCGCACGCGCGTACCGGGGTCTCCTTCGCCCCGCCATCACGCTCCTCGCTTACCCCGTCCTCAATCCCTACCCAGCCAGCTATGATTCCGATCTCCTGCAACGCCGTGGGCGATATTCTCGCACTGGCGACCCTCTTCCTCGACATTGCTCGCGCTCTAGACGAATCCCGCGGCTCTCCTGCCAAATGGCGTGCCCTCAACTCAGAGCTCAAGTCCTTGCATATCGTTTTGGCATCTGTGGCCCGTGTTGCCGAGCATACAACGGATACCCTTCTCCACGATGAGATTGTGCGCGAGGTCAATCGGTGCAGTGATGATGTGCGCCGCGCGCTCGAGCGCGTGGCCGAGTTTTCTATGCTCGGGCGCGATGAGTCTCCCGACGATGTTTGCAGCATTAGAATGAAGCGTCAGTGGTACAAGCTCAAGTGGCGCTTCTGTTACCACGGCAGCGCCGAGAGCATCCGCGCGGAACTTGCAGCGGCGACACACCGTTTGACAGCCTACCTGGTCGTGTCCAACGCGTACGTTCTCCTACTACACCTTTCGAAGGACTAGACCCTGACGTCTTTGTGCCAAATAGGGATAAGATACACAGCCTTGGCGCGTCAATCACGGAACAGTTCACCGCCACGTCTGCGCAGATCTGTACCTTGCTACTACAGCAGTTCGAGATCGTCGCAATGCGCGACGCTGGACGCTCACGCACCGTGAACGGACATATAGAATCGCGACGAGGGCTTCAGCTCTCTTCGCAGAGTACTATCGTGCCTCCCGGCTTCTTCGGGAACGTCTTCAATGACCTGGATAGCGGCAAGGCTGCTGCCGCTGCTCTTCTCTGCCTCGCTATATGCACCGTGCATGGCACTTCGCGTGAACTTCACTCTTTGCTGCTCGTGGCTGCTTTTGGTGTTTTGATGAGTAACATGAAGCGAGAGACGTGCACCATCTCATCGGATGTCGGATACGGGCAGTCTAACTCGGTTCTCCTGGATGACGCAATGGGTCGCCAACTGGTGCTACCGATCGAGCTATGTGCGACAGTCGAGGTACGCCCGTATTTGTACTGGACATTGATGTTCGTTTTCTGACGGTGCAGAAGCTTCTGCATGCGACCCTCGTCTCCCTGTTCTCTTCGACTTCGGGTTTCTGGTTCATCCACTCGCGCAACTACAGGATCCAGACCATCTATCAGGATGGCTGTAGAAGTCTTCTGCCTCTCTTCGGTGATGAACCACAGTTAGATGGACCATATGTCAAACTTGTAATGGCTGTCGCCATATGGGACAACAACCTACGAGTCGTGTGTCCAATCTGTCAGTCATCAGGTGTTGCCAGCTGGGTTCGTTTCTTGGAGTCATTGGACAATGACCATTCGATGTGGTGAGCTGTTTGAAATTCATGCATCTTCTATCAATATTGATTTCACGGTAGCTCATATTGCCAACAGACAGTCTTTTTTCTCCCGTGCGGTGTTTTATACGACTACGGTGCTGAGTTCGACGATAAGAAAGTGGTCTTTCCGCTTGCCAAGTTCGTGATCCTCAGATCTCTACGCTTGACTCCTGACATACCTGCACTTCAGACCCACCTTTTCAGTTCAAACCCAGACCGCCAGACCGGGGAAATTTACGCCCGAGATTGGGGCTTCTCGATCAACTCTACGCCATACCGGTGCAACTGAAAGTATCACTAGGCGTCCACACTTGGACTGGAAGAGTCAGATCAAAGTCTTCAGGCGCATATACCTCTGTTCCACCGATGGCCCTCTTGATTCTCTTCGCGAACAGTCTACTGACTTCCACATGGCTGCCCTGAATGGTCACTATGACATCGTCTGTGACGTTCTCGAAAGGGGCATAGACGTCAATCTCGCCGACCCGTCGGGTCACACCGCGCTTCACTCTGCCTCTATGGGCGGTCATCTCACCATTGTCGAATTACTGCTCGATTATGGCGCCGTTGTCAACGTGGCTGCGGTGAATTCATTGACACCGGTCGCATGTGCCTTGGCATGCATGAAGTTCGCAGTCGCGGAACTACTCATTTCTCGAGATGCTCTCTCCGGTCTTTCGCCACCTTCGCAAGCCACCATTCTATATTATGCTGCGATGTCCGGTCATATTCAGGTGGTCCAGATTATGCTCTCACTCGGCACAGATGTCAACACACGCGTGGCGATTGCTAGAGGCGAGACAGCACTGCATTCTGCATGTGAGGTACATGATATGTCTCAGGCGCCCAGGGAACAAATCATTCAATTGCTCTTGCAGAACGGAGCAGATATACGCGCGTGCTCTGACACCGGCGTTACTCCTATATCAATTGCCATAGAGAACTGGGATCGTAACTGGGTTGAGTTTCTCGTCCCGCCAGGAGACATGGACAGCATTCTGCTCAATTGGACTGCATGGTGGCCCAGCGAAGGAGTGGACCTGTTAGAAGCAGCCATTGACACCAATCTTCACAAGCTCATTGAGACACTCTTACAAACTGGGGTTGATGTCAATCTGTGGTTTCATTTCGGTCATACTCCGCTGACATTGGCCATTAGTAACTGGTTGCGATACGAAACTGCGACACTCTTGCTCGAGCGAGGTGCTGACGTGAATGCTCCTACTCGGGATGGTGACACACCACTCTTCTTGGCATTAAGTGGTGTGAAACGCCATATTGATTACATCGGGAGCTCGAGCGAAGAATGGAGTCGCTGGGCAGCGGAGGCCTATCAGAGATTAGTGCAGCTTCTTCTGGCCTGGGGTGCCATACTGGATGAGAAGTCATCCATGCTCCTGCAGGAGCAGCCCAGCTGGTCCAACAAGTCATTGGGAGGCATGTCTGACGCGGATATACCGGGTGCATGGCATGAGGACCCCTGAAGGTCAGCAGATGGTGAACTCGGAGATCGTTCTCTGTAATCGTAAACATCGCGGCGAAACGTCGCGTGCTTCTTGGATCGAAGAACAAGTGTCGTTATATCAGCATGTAATAGAAGAGGCTTTGTTTGATGCAACCAAAAGACGTGAATGATCTTGCAGACATTGAGGGTTAGACTCTACACCTGAGATCGAGCGGGGAGGGTCAGCGCTTGATCAATTATTTGCGTTTACTTTCACTTCGGGGGAATATATGCGCCCCATTATATCATCCTACATATGACATGACATTGGCGAGTTGCGCTACAGTACCCGAATACGGTGTCCTAGTCCTCAGCTCAACAACCCACGGTGGCTTCGCTTCATCCCCACCCAACCCCGGCGGATCCGGATCCAGCCCCCGCTGTACCTCTCTCGATCGCTCAGCACGATCTCCTCCAGCACCGGCGTTCGCATGAGTTGAGGCGTAAGAGTATCGCGTGGGAAAGTATGGGGAGGACGAGTGGTAGGAGGAGAGAAGCTTCGCAGAGCAAACAAAGGGTGAAACACAATTAAGAAAGTCATGTGGTCGCGTCCCTCAACCCTAACCCAAAGGCCTCCGCCTTCCCGTGAACCATCATGTGGGTTACTCGCCACCGATACCGGCCATAGTGCCGACGGCAACCCCCATATTTGCTCTGGGACCGTCATAAGTCGGTTTCACGCGACCAGGTAGAACAAGGTGTGCGGCGAGACGACATGGTACGGCGGATATTTGCCAGTGATGTCCAAGTGATGTCTGTCGTCCGCTACACATCCGGCGCCCTGCTGTCCTCTTCAGGGTGCGCGGAAGTGGTAGAGATGAACTTGACAAATACAGCACGCGGCGACTGATGTGCAATCACCGGCTGGATCCTGACCGGTTCGCATGTAGATCAGGGATAATCGGAGCCTAGAGGGCTACTTGATGTTCGACGATCTCTGGGCGTAGGTGTCTACAGAGCTTGTCTGAGGTCCCCAAGTAACTTGGTATCCTCCTGGTTCCTCGCGACACCCACGAGTCTGGGAAATAAATCAGAAACGTGTATAAATATGGACTAGGAAGATTGAGGGGAAGGTCAAACGAGCAGTTTGGGCCTGCATCGCCTGGGAAGCCGGGGGGACAACACGACGTACTAGCATTTCTACCACCATCTATGTGCGCATTGTGGTCGTACTTCATCTGACGCTTCGCCTCCAGTGTATATCCGTGCAGAGAGGTGCATGCGTATGAGGACCATGCCCGAGCATTGCACGCGCCAAGTCGACATGCATCTCGTTGAGGAGGCATCCGGAGGGAGACGCGGTTCGATGTGTCCAAATGGCGCGTGGGGTGTTGAGCCAGAGCTTGAAGTGCATCGGGGCTGGGCGAGAGCAGCGTTGGGCTGTAGAGACCATACGCGCGCGAATCGGGCTTCAACTTTCCACTCAACCTCCGCGGGATCACGATTAGGTTCGGAACAAACCCCTGATGCGCACTCGTGTAGGGTCTTG